GGACTTCGTCCAGTGCGGCCGGAGCTCTCTGGGAACGTCGTATACCGATGATATCAGGGCAAAGTACGAATTTCAACAAAAACATTTTTGTGTGTGTATCGTTGAACATTTCTTGCGTGCGTATTAGGAAGGCGACGAATGTACGAATTCATCGGTGTATATCTGCCGAAAGATTAGCAGTAAACAAAAGGTAAAATGATGTATGGGGTATCGTGAGAAGGGCCTGCTTCGATCCATCATCGTCGGTCGTCTGTAAAAGAAACAAACGCAACGCCTCGCGTCGCGGCGGCAACGCTGACACAGGTTTCCGGATGAAGCGTAATCCTTAATGCGGCGATGGCAGAGCGGAGGGGGGATATGTATAGTGTGGGTTATAGTATGGTTACAACTGGAGGAAAAATTGAACTTGAAGTATAATGAATTGCATAAAGCATCAAATAGAATATGGTTGACTGACGTTCCCTATTCTATTTTGGGACCAGGACACCGTTTCTCCAGCTCCAACCGCGAGACATGACAGTAACACTTTGGTTTAGGCTGAAGGCAATAATGTCCTTAGGTGAACTCGGTTATGATTTGAAGACATTATTATTTGATTGATAGAATCTGGTAGAATGTCAGTGGAAGCTTTATCCTGCCATGAACAACCAGTGATAAAATGGTCAAGTTTTTCTGCTAAGTTTTTGTGCTGGCTGCGTGTATTGTTTGGTGATAAAGAAGCATTAAGTTTTCGTACATTTACGGTGTCAGATAAATGTTAAATTTCGTATAGATTATCGAGAAGCCTTTTTGTGATTGCTCAAACTGCCGTAGAGTGCGTGGAATTTGCCGGGTGTCTCAGCTAAGTTGCTTAACTTATTGTGAACTTAAAATTAATCATGAAGTTTAAAGCAATATTTTGACGAACATCAAACACCATAGCAATGCTACTCAGATATTATCCAAAGCAACTTGATTATTATGTTATAAAAATGTTGAACTTTTAAAAACAAATATCTCGAAAACTATTAGCTTTAGTTATCCCTAATAAATAAACCTTTTTTCTTGTGGAAATGCGAGAAAATAAGATTTTTCGGTCAGTTGTTGTATACGGGGTAGTACAAAAAAGTTATGATAAGTTATTTACCGAAATAGTGCTGTAAGTGTCGCCCTCTAGAAGTTTGGCCATAAAAAATGACGGATTCTTGTTTCTCACACTAGGAAACCCCCTTATACCAAGTTTTATGCCAAAATCTGAAATACTTCTCAAACAATAAGGAAAAATAGAAAATAAAATTGTTTGACACCCTGTATCTCGCAAACTATCATCTTTTGGATTAAGGTATCTTCAGGTCAATTCACATATTTTGGTCTGTGGTCAGTTTCGAGATTTCTGAATATTATGATACATCGAAACATATCAAAATGAGTCCAACGCGATCTTTACAAGCCAAAAGGTAAAAATTGACATGTTTCCAATGATTTCGATGCATGGATACCTTTCTGATTCCAAATTTCCCTTAACTATGAAACCCGCAAGCTAGCGCACTTTGTTTTGTCCTATTTGTTTTCCTGTTTTCCCATATATTCATTGTATCGCGCACAATATCCGTACACAATGAACATGCTTAATATCAAGCTCCACTCAACTTTTTCCTTTGATATCCCAAAACATTTCTTGAGTAGCTCGTATACGTATACCGGGACAATGCGGCGTATACCCACTTACTTTTTTTTATTATTGCGGATAAAATACGCTTAGTTTTCCAACTTCTGGAATTTTTCTTCCCTCGTAATACTCGTTAATGTTTACCTTTTTGCAACTAAATTAAAATTTGAGCCTTTAGGCAAGAGGCAATTGTTATTTTGTTGGTGATTATACAGGGTGTTAATAGAGTATCTGACAAAACTTCGAGGAGTGCTTCCTGAAGAGAAAACTATAACTAACATTATGTTTAAAATACAGGGTTTTGAAAATACCGTTTTTGAAAAATGTGATAACCTTTTAGGCGATAATGTTAATATTTGTTGCAATCTAGTAGGCAGAGACGTTATTACTTATTAATATAACTGCACAAATTGTTATACTATCTAGATCGCCAGACTTTGTCCTTTAAATTTATTTCTTTGAGGGCTTGGATTTTATTGATTTTCGATTTAATCTAGAAATTTCCGCGATACGTGTACACCTACTAAATTCTTACAAAACCACCTTATGAGTTTGATGGAGAAGCGAATTTTCCACAAAAGTTGGATATGCTCTATTTTGGAAACAAAGTTTACCGAACTTATATTTGTACGAGTCTTTCTATTCCTTCCTTGAAGTTCTACCAGATACTTCATCAAAACCTTGTAGACAATGGTTTGAAACAAAGTAGTAGAAGAAGCATAAATAGTTCAGTTGTGTGACGGAAATACAACAATTGTTGTTAACTCTATGTTATTTTGGGCACCACCTCATTAATTTACACCCTCTAGCCACATTCTGCAAATGCTATTAATACTACAGTAAATATTTCGAAAGCATTGTCCATTTAATCGGTCGAATTCATTTCCAATTACCACATAATGGTACTTTGCCTAAGCAAAGATTAATCTGGAAACCACACACCCCATTAGAGAGATTAGCCATTACACGAGTAGTTGGTTTGTGTGTTTTAGTTTGCCGAAAATAAATGCTGCGTCTACTACTATTCGATTCATGCATGTTCATTGTACGTTAACTTGCTACCCCGTTCTTTTGTCTCATCTATTTTATGATCAGTGTCTATAAAGATAAAGTCAAGTATAATGGACGACCGCGGTATCTCGGAATCACTGATCCTAGAGCTATCCGTTAAAGAATTCTGTAACAAAAGTGGCGAAGAAAAATTGTTGGAAATTATTTTCTGCCTCTAAAAATGGCCGCAAGGAGGCGTAACCCTAACCTCAAAATAAGAAAAGCCGTTTTTTCGGCTTGTCGATATCGGCAGAACATATACGAGCCCCTTCCTACTTCAGTTGGCCCAAATATTGAAATCTTAGTTTTTTTCTTATCAAACACAAATAATAAAAATGTAGCAGGGTGTTACAGGTTTAAAATATTAACAATGAATATTTTGATAATATATAGTAGAAAACACCAACTTTATCACTCCCTAATCAAATTTGCAGCATAAAAATAACACATGTTGCAATTACAGCATATCAACCTATTTTCATTTCAATGCAAAATAAGTCTATAAGGCATAGGTGGCTGTGAAAAATAAAAGCCATTACAATTGTTTTTATTAATCACAGCTGTCAGAATACGTTTAAAATAGTTTTGGGTAGTTAAGGTTTTCAAAATGGGTAGAGGAAAGCTTATTAGAGAGAAAATTCGGTTACTGATAATTAAATTTTTTACTTCTGGGAAATCAAACTCAGAAATTGCAACTTTATTAGACTTATCGCGGTACAGTGTGAGAAATATTGTTAAAAGATATAACGTAACTGGTTCAGTTAATATTAAGCCACGATATGTGAAAGAAAGTAATATCACAAATGACGATCGAAGATCATTAAGAAGAATAATCGTGAGAAACAGGAGTGCCAATTATTTACAATTCAGTGCTGTGGGAAGGAGAATTTTGGGGTCCACAACTCATAGAGAGGCCCACAAACTGGGATTTAGCACTTGCAAGGTAAGTTTTCTTATAAAAAAAAGTGAAGTAAAAACCCTAAAGTTGCCCAACTTGTTTTAGGCCAAAGAAAGGCCACTATTAACTCCACTGTAAAAGAAAAATCGGCTTAGATGGGCTAATAATGGACCCCTCAACAATGGTGTGCAATACAATGGAGAGATGAGGCCCGATTCGAAGTATGTGTTGGTGACGGTCGCAGTAGAGTTATTCGCAAAAAAATGAAGCATTCCATGTTGACTGTCTGAAGAGAAAAGTGAAATCTCCAGCATCTATTATGGTCTGGGGCAGTATGTCATCAAAAGGAGTAGGAAAACTTCATTTTATTGATGGAAATGTGGATACAAACAAATATTTGGCAATCTTAGAAGAATCGCTTTTACCAGTGATGGAAGAATGTTTGACATCCGGTCAAGATTTTGTGTTTCAGCAAGATGGTGCAGCGTGCCATACCTCAAAAAAGGCTATAAAATGGATGGAAGAAAATAATGTACCACTTTTGAAATGGGTTTCTAGCAGTCCAGATCTGTCACCTATTGAAACTTTGTGGCACGAGATGAAAAAGGTTCTACGACAACAACCTGCTCGTACAATCACCGAACTGACACAAAAGCTTCACGAAATATGGGATTGTTTTACAACAAATTTTTGCCAAAACTTGGTTAACACTATGCTCCAAAGAATTTCAGCCGTAATAAAAGATAAAGGTGATGTTACCCAATGGTAATCTTTCAATTGTTGCTTTGTTAACTTTGCGCATTTATTTGTTCATTTGTTCAGATGATCCATTAGTTATAGGTCTAAGTGATTTCAAATATGTATTTTTTACGACTAGAGTGTATCTAAAATGTTTTTGAGAAGAAGAAATCGGCCGCGCTCGAAAGTCTTAACGCGACGTTTTTTGCTCCCTCCACTACCTTACGTCATAGTCAAATGTCAAATTATTAAAATACACTCTTTTCAGCATACAGTTAATCCACCTTGTCTTAGTCTGTGGCACCCAGGTATTTTTCTGAATATAGATTTTTTTTCACTATTCCTATCGACTGCCCTAGACGTACCCCCTGTATAAAGGGGTGGAAGTACTCAAAAGGATACAGGTATCCTTCCTTATGTTAATCTGCCGCGCTCAAACATTTAAAAAAATCCCTTATTGAGCTCTCCTACTGAGATTTGAACTTTGACTATGTTCCATTTGGTCAAGTTTAGACGCCATCTACATACCTGGTCAATCTGCAATAAGCAGAGCGATAGTCACAATTTTATCTGGCAATCTATTGGACATCTATTTAGATTTTATTCTCCACACACATTTTTGTGGATGGTAAGTTATTCACATTCAATTGTGTTTGAATCCCTTACCATTTGAGTATCCAGAAAGGAGGTCTCTGAGTTGGTTCGTCGGTCCGCATATTTCCACTGCTGAAACTCGTACCGAGAATCTGGCGCCAGTTTTTTGTTTCTGTTCGTTGATGCCCTTGAATAGCCACGATATGGCGCAGGGGATGATTCCCAGAGTGTTGCCGTTGTCTGGACTGCCCATCATCGTGTACGATTTGCCTGGAACAAAAAAAAATATTAACAACAAACTATCAAAAAAAAATGATAATGATTTGATTTTTTGTCTTTATCGTTTAAGAATATCAATGCGGATCGTCCACAGGGATCACCCCTTTAAGTTAGATATTCATAGTCACACAATTATCACGTTTTATCTAACTTCAAATGTAACGATTTCTTATTGCATGAAGGCCGAGTTTCAACTTATAAGAAACAGAACAAAGAATATTAACATTCCTTATTCTGTTACTTCATGAAAGCCGAATATCGTATTCGGCTTCGACCAAAGTATTGACCTTGTGATGGACCCTAATTCCAAGAGATTTGAGGTAGTACATAGAAGTCCGATGCAATTCAAGAGTATATTTGCAGTTCCATCTGTTTGAGATATAAAAAAATCTAGGAAATCTTATGACATTTGAGAAAGTACAGATTTCCTACGAAAACTAAGCATCTCCAATTTAAAGAAATCTGGCTGAAGACATTTCGTTCTAATAAAGTGACACTGGTTGGATCCTCGCATTTAGGTCTTCACTTTGTGACTGCTTGCGTTTGAAGAAAAGTCTGAAAGCTACCAGTAAATAGTAATTCTATACAGGATGTTTCAGTTTATTGTTGCATAACTTTAAGATTCGATAGAACTTTTAAAATTAATGCATAAGGTCTATATAAACATGGGTCGAAAAATGCGTGGCTTCCGAAATACAGGGTGTTTAAATTTACTTTCTAAAATAGTTTTCTTTAAATATTTCGAATAATATTTGATGTATAACATTGAAAATTGGTGTACAAGGGTTTTTTGGTACGACAAAACGAACCATGGGCATAGTTTTACTGTAGCTGCTAGAGGGCGCTCTCTACTGTACCTGTAGTGTATTAAAATTTTTTTTCTTTCAGTATCTCGATAATTTTTAGAAGTAGGCTGTGCCTGTATATATTTTTGAAATTGAAAGCAGAATAAGGTTAAACGTCAATTAGTTGACAGTTAGTTTTGTTGTCTGTTGAAACCTGAAACGTTTTTTTGCAATTGTGAATGCACGAAATTTAGTTTCTTTTACCTGCTTTTCTTTGTAAGTTTTATAAAAATGCCAATTTTATTTTCCAATCAAGAGTTAGCGGATATTCATTTTGTGTATGGCTTTGTAAATGGAAACGCAGCAGAAGCAGCCAGAGAATACGCACGAATATTTCCAAACAGACGACATCCAACTCGCTCAGTATTTGTAAGAGTGCATCGCCAAATAATTGAAAATGGTTTTGGAAATCTCCAAAGGGATCAAAACATAAATGTTCGTCAGCGCAGATTTACCAGTATGATTCTGTGTGAGTTTGATAGAGATCCGACCACAAGTGTTAGGAGAGTTTCTGGTGCCTTGGGAATTTCAGCAAGCCATGTTCACCATGCTCTTAGAAATGACCATAGACGTCCTTACCATTTGCAACCTGTGCAAGGACTACAGCCAGGGGACGGAGAACGAAGAATCACATTTTGTCAGTAGGATTCTTGATAGAACTGATAATAATAGGGAGTTTTTAAGTAACGTTTTCATAATCAACATATTTGGTCACATGACAATCCGCATGCAGTTCAGGAAAGAAATTTTCAGCATGAATTTAGTGTGAGCATGTGGATTGGTATCTACCGTAATCGACTATTTGGACCCTACCTTTTGCCTGCAAGGTTAAATGCTGCGACATTCTTGGAATTTTTCAATGCTGAACATGCAAATATGTGGGATGATATTATGTTAGATTTAAGAAGATTGGCCTGGTTCCAGCTTGATGGTTGTCCAGCTCATTATTCGAGAATAGTTAGAAATTGGCTGGACGAAAATCATCCAGAAAGATGGATCGGCCGTGGAGGACCAGTCGCCTGGCCTCCACGATCCCCTAAAATCCATTAGATTTCTTTGTGTGGGGATTTCTGAAAGAAAAAGTGTACCAGACTCCCGTAACCACAAGAGATATGCTAATAGACAGAATCAGGAATGCATGTGATGAAATAAGGCCTTATTTGAATAATGCTGCACCACGTTCGATCATTCGTAGATATGAATTGTGTATTGAACAATTGGGTTTACATTTCGAGCAACTTTAGATTTTGTATGTTTGTCCTAACTATCCAATAGCATTTTAGTTGTAAATAATTAATTTAATTTGTTAAAAATAATATTGGAAAATTAAACAAATTAATATTCTGTTTTTTTGTGTTTATTTGGAGTTAGCAATTATTGCTGTGTTTAAAAACACAATCTAAACGAGCATCTTAACTACTTGTTATGCCCAAATCGAAAATGTAAAAAAAAAATTATTTTCCCATAAATAATTAAAAATGCATCGAATCTTAAAAATCGAAATATCTCAAAAACGGATAACTATTACGAAAACTCACAAGAGAGCTTTTTTATGCAGAAAAGTGCGAAGAATTAATTTTTTATTCAAAAAGCAAAATATTGCACTAAGAAAAATTTTTCGGTCATTTTAATACAGGTACAGTAGAAAGCGCCCTCTAGCGGCTACAGTAAAACAATGCACCTGGTACGTTTTGCCGTACCAAAAAACCCCTGTATACCAATTTTCACTGTTAGACATCAAATATTGTTCGAAATATTAAAAAAAACTATTTTAAACAGTAAACTTAAACACCCTGTATTTCGGAAGCCACGCATTTTTCGACCCATGTTTATATAGACTTTATGCATTAATTTTAAAAGTTCTATCGAATCTTAAAGTAATGCAACAATAAACTGAAACACCCTGTATAACAATGGGAAATCTTCATGATTCTTTTGTATTCTCTATCTATCTTCGTCAATAAAATACCGTAATCCTAGAAAGCGTGATAAATTTCGAAAATGACATATTATATTTTTTGGATGTTTATATGACATGTACTTCTACGAAACCATGTGGGTCTGTCCGGTAATTCTTGGTCCCTTTATTACTTGGATACTGCTTGGATTTGGAAGAATTTTTACACAAGGTTGGCAAGGACTAAAAAACTTTGTGGTTTTTGAAAATCGCTCCTGTGGTGGCGGCGAAAAGGCCAAAAACGAAAAAATAAGGATCGCTCAAATGTCGTTTTTTGACATTTCAGAGATTCTAATCATTCGTAGAAGTGAAAAATTGAGGCGTGAGGCATGGTACATATCAATGTTTTCATGTTAGTGTATTTATACGCGGACAATTGTCTTCACTAGAATGATAGAGAAATTATTTATCCTTCTGCTGTCTGGGCTCATCGCTTCGCGTACCGGTCTGCTTGATTGTTTTGTTCGTACTACGGCGGTGATTCGGTGAACGTTGTCTCCTCCGACGACATGGAGAGGGGTAGCGTAGTCAGATTGATAGTAACTACCGATAGGACAGGGAAAGAGGATATTCTTAACTAATATTTTCCACAGAGGGTTTAACTTGTGCTGAACTATGATCTATGAACTGATAACGTCGTTAATAAATTAAATTAAATAATTAAAACCTGCAACGCCAATATTGCTGATTTAAACGCCGCAGTGACTGTCATAACTCAGAATTTATAGGTTACTGTTTATTACTACAAATTACAATGGAAAGCTGAAACATTAAACTGACAAATTGACAATCAGTGACAGTGAGATCAAGCGCCTGCCACTTAAAATCGGACTTTCTTTATACTCCAACTACCACGAAGGTCTAAGGCCTAAGCACCCATTGGGTACCGTGGGGCTATAGGGGGATACATGGGAAAGGGGAACGCCACACGGTACTCTGGCGAGGGAACACGCGTGTATGCAACTTGTACACATTCTGGCCTCGCCTACGAGATCCGCCGGGTGGTACCTCCGCGTCCGACAGTCAGAGACCGTCTACCACCTACGGACAATCCAATCACAACGTGTATAGCCAAGGGAAACATTTCTCTTGGGGCGGGATTATTATCAAGTGTGCTTAGGCTCCATATGACGTTTCCAATTGCACGTTTGATATTTTTAAACATAAGCTTCTACAGAACGTTTTGTTATTTCAGCACGATTTATGTTGTTGTGTCTCAGTGAAAAAATGGAACTGACTCGTGAACATTTTCGTTCGATGATGTATTACGACTTTTGACGTGGATTATCAAGGCAGAAATCGATCAACTCACTTAATAATAATAATAATAATAATTAACGTCTTTTATTTGTAATATTCTTACAGGAGGCGAGATTTAGATTATATATCTATTCTACCATCTAACCCCCTTAACAATTCGAGATGTAAAAAAAAAAAAAAGAATTTATTGAAAATTAATAGGCACCTGTATACAATAACGAATAATCCAAGTAAATACATAAGGAAAATATGAGGACACTTATGGGTTACAACCGATTTCGCTGCTGATCAAGAAGAACTTCTTTCACTTTTTTCTTGAATTTGGATAATGGATTGGTTTCTTTTAAACTGCGGTCTAAAGAATTATATGATTTGATCGCATTGTAAATGTATGAATTCTGAAATAGAGACGTGCTGTGGCGTGGAATTGAAAAAGTCTCTCTATATCTAATATTAATACGATGCATATTTCCTCTACGTATGAATTTGTTTACTAAATATGACGGTGTTTTTGAATAAAGAACCTTATGAGTCAGATTTAGGAGCTGGTACTTATACATTTTATCAATTTTCATCCATTTGAGTTCATTAATGGCATTCGATATATGATCGTATTTTCTGAGATTATTTACAAGCCTGCAACATGTATTCATAATACTTTGAATACGATTTCTTGTTATAATATCTAAATAGGGATAGTAAACCACTAAGCAATACGATATCTTTGAAAATACGAAATATTCACACAATTGCTTTCTCGCAGATTTATGTAATATAGCCTTATTTGCAAATAAAACTCTGAGAATAGCGTAGCACTGCGTAATTAGATAGTTCACGTGTGCAACAAATTTTAAGTCATCATCCATTATAATACCTAGGTTTTTCGAATGATCCACAGGAATTAATTTATTACCTTTTAAATGTATGTC